AGGCTTTTGCCAACAGTGGTAAAGAGTGGTAAACAACTTTGCTCTCCATCACTGTCTCTCAGGTACACTCTTCTTTTGCTGGATTTTGTAGAAAAAAGCTCCCTCATCTGGCTAGGTTGTTTTAATGAGAGGTTACTTACGTCACTCTTGGCTATTCTCCCTTCACAACTATTCTCTGACTTAGGATTTAGGAGGTGCCTATGTGAAAACTCTCATTACCTAGGGGAAGACACAGGAAGTGCTCAGCTACTGAAGTACCGATGTATAGGCTTCAAGAAAGCCTGCTAGCAAAGCTCAATTTCCCAGCCCTCTTTTATTCCTCTGAACTCAACTATTCTGAAGAAGGTACATGAAATAATGTGCTGCACATATTTTCCTGAACAAGAACTGAATACAGAAAAGAAACTATTTGCATATTAGAAATCCTGTTCTGCAGAAAATCTGTGCACCGGGAAAATGGAACATATGTGCCGAATGAATTTAGGCAAAGCTGCACCTTTGCTGTGCTGTTTAAGAAAAATCACATTTAATACATCAGTCTGAGACTGACATGGGCTTTTCATCAGCATTTCATCAAAATTGAACAAATATGAAACATGAACACCTGTACACCATTAATGGTTCAACATACTGCACCATGTTTTGGAAAAGGACCTTGCTGAAGCCAAACACCCACCCTCAAGTACACAACAGACCCCTCTCTGAACACCCAAACAAGGACAGAAGGCAGTATGTGGCAACAGGCTAGTTGAACAATGCACACCTACACCACAGGGGGACAGACAGCCCACAGCAGCATCCCCTGTGGGATGTCAAGCCCAGGAGTTCACTGTGCTTCTGGTGCAGATCTCTGTAAGAACCATTTCAAAATCACAGAATTGCAGTGGGAGGGTACAGGAAGAAACAGAGAGGAACACAGAAGTCTGGTAGAGCTCTGGATACTTCAAAACATCAAAGGTGTCAAAAGGGCATCCACAATTTCATCTCAAAGGAAAGCCCAGGCTGTTTCCCTACTGGAGCTGCCCAGCTGCCTACCCAAACAGGAGGGTATTTTCTTTTAGTACTTTGCTGTCTGTTGGTGGTAACTCCCTTGGAAGAGCTGTACAGCAAATCCTTTTTGGCAATTGCAACACATCAGTGGAAATGATTTCTTACCAAATGTAGTTTGAACCAAATGAAAGAAGAGTTAGGGATATTTCTCCTGCTTTGGAAAAATGGGGTATTGGTCACTGGGAGAAGAGGAGGGGATCTAAGTACTAAGTACAACACGCTACAACACTTCGAATATTAAATCTACTGGTGGTACTTTGGACATCATGTTCCCACTCCAAGACTCCCTGCTTACAGTCAGACATTCACTTGTTCAACAGCATGGAAACACCTCCATCCACAGGCTGCTTGACTGCCCAGTGTTGGTCCTACTTTAATACCATCCTTCTGAGCATCTTGATACCACACACCTGGGTGGATACTTGGTTATTCAAATACATGGCTGATATATTGCTCATGTCCAATAACAAGCAGTATGGTATTTTTCTGTTTTTTGTTTTGCATCTGCCATTGAGCTGTGGCTTTTTAAAGACGTAAGTTTTCAGGAAAACATGAATATGGTCATTATAAGGATTGTACTTCTGCAGTAACTCTGCTGGCATACACAAGCAATTCCTGTATTATTTTCAGATTTATTCTTTAAATGGTTTTAATAAACATACACAAAAATAAAGAATCAAAAAGTTACCCTTATCTGAGTATTGTACAGTTCATTTGAATCAGCCTGTTAATAGCAAAAGATCTCACAATGAAGCTGAGATAAAAAACACATGGTTTTGCTATTAATCTCCCATTCAATTTTCTAGTGGAGCCATTCCAGTATCTACAAACACATAAAAATTTTGTACTGTCTATGATTAGACTTGCTAATCAAGCTGTATCTTTATCCCAGTGCACATTTACCAGCAATGATGAGGCTCTTTTGTAAGTTATGCCATTCTGTCATTGAGAAAACTGGTGAAGTTACTCACCTGTGGTAGGATTTACTTCTGGATGGATTACATCTTCTGTTCCCCAACTGTCTGGACTGACCAGAACACACAGTACACCAACTTCCAGGAAGCCCTCAAGAACCTGCCATTTGTTGCTCTTCCCTGAGATCTCTGCCAGTACAAGTGCAGAGGGAATACCTAATCCTGAGACACTTAACTGGGTACATTTTGTCCACAGGTCACAGACATGTAATATCTCCTATAATCCTGCTGGAAATCCTGTCCTTCACACTATTCTCCTGGCATGGCTGGCTGTTCCAGTTATGAGAAGAAAAGATAGTGCCTGATGGGCCTTGTCAAAATGGTGCTTGGTGGATATTGGAAAAATTTCACCAATGGCAAGAATGAGTATGTTTTTGCATTGCGTACAGAATCATCAGAACCCAGAAGGTACTGAAATAAACAATGTATTTCTTTATCCCACCCCAAAAGAGTCAATAGCTACAGGAATTGTTACAGTAGAAGCAGCAGGTTCTGGGATAATCAAAGTAAGACAAATCACTGTCCAAAACGAATGAATCAACTACTGTATCACGTGTTGATGCAGCCTTGCAAGTCTTCTTAACAAATAAAATCTACACGTTATGTGCATGAAAATGCAGCTGTTGATGAAGCCAGAGCTGTTCAAGGGTACTAATCTCTTCACAACTCATGATAGCTGCGTTTCTTTTTCCATGACTTTATCCTTGTAAGAACAAGCCCCAGCTTCACTTAATGTTTGGATCAGTCACTAGAGAAAAGCACTGTGTGCAATTTTTTTCAGTACTGTAATGCTTTATAATTCAGGAATGATGAAAAAAATGGCTACTTTTAAAATACATACTTCAACACTAGGTGCTGAAGGTTTTCTGATTCGTTCAATTATCTCACACTATATTGTTTGCACAGTTCTTAAAACCACCTGTAGAAGAAGTGAAATCCTGGCCCAGGGGAGGCTAAGAGGCCTCATCCATGAAAATGCTAAGGTATCTAGTAAGAAACTCAGCAGTAATTTATAAACTCATTGACATGGCTATATAGAAATATTTCTAGTTTGTCAGAATAAATCCTACTATTCATCATCAGCCTAGTTATAGCCTACATCAATCATTTGCACTTCAGTCACCTTGCTCATTCTCATACTCTGCTGATTCAGCTTTAAATTTTATTTCACTGATAGGAGTCTTTCACAAAGGTCAAAAAAGTGCCTTCAAAGTAAGGAAAGTGGTTCTGTCTAATGAATCCTCAGTTACTACTCCTTCTCTAGTTAACCTCATTTCAGTCAAATTAACTACATTTCACAAAAATCAGTATCCTTATCCTTTGGATTTACACTGCAAATAATCACCAATACTCAAAATGCTAATATAGAAGAAATTAGACTGAAAAAAATATCAGCAGCACCAAGTTTTCTCACTGCTTAATTTCTCAGAACTTTATTTTATGTCTAATTGGTGCTCCAAATTTGGAGGTGAAGAGTTTTGAGGGTCGGGTCTATTTGGTGGGAATGACTGGGGTTACTGAAAATGAAATTTTGTGACAAGTTTTGTAGCATTCAACAAATCATGTTTCAAGTTCCATCATGTTTCATATATCAAATTCTAATCCAGATCAGAAATTACAAATCCCTATGATCTATTGCTACTGTTTTACATGGACTAGCTGACAAATGAATACCTCAAAACTTCTTTCCACTACAAACTGCAGCCCTAGGTAGTCATACAGGAGATCCACAAGAGCCGAGCTCAGCCCAGCATGAGCTCCAAGATAGAAAGGCACTATAAAGTTTAGCCCGAAGTTCACATTATGGGCATTTTTATAAACAAAAACAAAAGCAGGTAGTAAACATTTCTGAAACAAGCTGTGTATTCACATCCAAGCACTTCAGTAAGTGTGACAAATGTTGCCACCTCATGGACAGGTGCAGGGTTTGATCCAGCTCAGCGGTAGGAAGGAAAACAGATCACGGAGATGACTCATTGCTGCCCTTTCACACTCCCCTGAGGGAGGAAGCCAGAGCTTGGCCAGAAGGATGCTTTTGTCACTTGGGTCTCAATCCAGAAGCATGGCTACGCATCCACAATTGGGGGAAAAAAAAGAAAACAACAAAAAAGAAAACAAAAACTAATAAAGGAAGGAAAATAAAAGAAAGAAAGAAGAATAAAGACTACACATGTTCAGAGTATTTGACCATTTCTAATATAAGAGCAAGGGGGAAGACTGATGATTTTTCCCTGAAAAAAACCCATAATGCTCAGCTTAGAACCTGGCATGGTCTTTCACTGTCAAGTGAGCACTCAAAAGTAAAACATCTGAGTAACAGGCTGTGGGACCTGGAGTTTTCAAGAGGGTTACTGAAATTTTCAGATTCATGAAGACAATTGCCTCCACCTGGACTAGATCATTTTCATGCTCCATAAATTGTGTATCTTCTGCTTGTATATCTTCTACTTCTTCAATTGTAAGCTGCAATTGCAGTGTATTCCACCAGGTATTTCCAAAGACAAAGTTTTATGCTACAATACCACATTGGTTATTCACTGTTCCACAACTTTTGGGGAATTGCTGCAGAAAGACTCTGTCACCTGTAGAATTTCTCCCTTCCTGATGAAAAGGCAGCTGTGCCATCCTCCTGTACAGGACAGAGGCTGTTACAAAAGCCATTACTTGGTGTGTATGTTATAAGTAGGTTCATTCCACGGCACTATAATTAACACTTCCTGTAACTGGATGAGCACAAAAGCACTATAGAATTTTGGAGCAAAAATAAAACACTTCAAGTTTGACATAGGGATAGAAGTTCACAAATCAATTTGTTTTTAAGACAGAGCTTCATAAAAATACATTCACAGTCAACATTTATGAATGATCTGAAAAAGACAATGTGGTGACTAATTGGGAGTTTCCTACCATCGTGATCTCCATATAACAGGGTAACAGTCTGCCTACATACTACTGAAGAAGAATTTGTACCAGCTTGATTTTTAAATATGTTCTTATGTTTATTATACTTTGCTACTCCACTCTCCTAAAATGGTGGCCTCAGGAAAAGCTGCTTTGGCAGGCAATTGCAAAGATTCCTGTGGAGAGGAAGTGAAAAGACTGGGCATACAAACAACGGCTGCTGCCATGTTCAAAGCACTGGGGAGAGTTCATAGAGCAAAATGCAGTCCTAAGTAAATGGGTTTCAGGCAATTTCAGTGTTAAGATAACATCATTAAGACTAGAACAGATTGTGCTCAAACCCTGCTGTTTATAATTAACACATTGCTTCCAAATACTCCAGGGTCCCTGGTAAATAGTCCTCTGCTCAGATCCACCCAGACCAATCAGAGTATTTTCATCAGGTTCCATGCTGGGCCAGCACCTGTTTGGACAAATCCAAAAGAGCCAAAATACTCTTCTTTCTGGCCAGCTAAGTAGAGAGATGAACACAGCTTGCCTTAGTCATTGTCACAGTGTCCATATGGCTGTGAAGCTTGTTTTCACAAGAAATCGTACAAGTACTTTATTATGTCGAAGTTCACGGTCCTATAAACAAAAACACAGTATATTAGAGCAATCGTCTTAACAGTGCTAAGACTTTAACCTGTTTGGAGACAGCACATGCAGGACATTCTGCACAATCAAAATCAAGCAATTTCCCAAAAGAAATGCAAGCAAGGATTAATGAATTTTTAAATTCTCTCATTATTTACAATACCCCTCTTCTGATTATTTGAACTTTGTAAAATTCTAGAAAAGAAATGTAGCAACTTCCTAGTAAAGAAAGGAAGACTCTTATTTCAATAACGAAACAATAAAAATATAACAATATTAATAAGATTATATTTTCATATGGCAAATCTGATGTTCTAGTTGGTGATGCAAAGCAACAACCTTTTATGCTATTGAATGTTTTGTTCATCTCCCAAACCACTTGTTTTAGCATGTACTCCTTCATCTCTACTCATTTGGAGCCTGTGTTCTTTCAGTCTTGACAGTAGTTGACCCATGCTCATAGCTAAATTTGAAAAATCCAAGAATGCCAATCAATGGAATAGAAGATTTTAATGTACACTTTTGTACTTTAATGGCAGGCAAAATGAACAGCAGTAGAATAAAACATATAATTATTTTTTTTGTCTCTAAACTCATTCTTCTATATAATCTAACACTCAGACTTTAGAGTTTACTGTTTGAATAAATAATGCAAATTACTGCATATAATGACAAGTATAAAATTAAAAGGGTTTTTTAAAAAAAGTATTCAATGATCAAAAATAACTGCTAACAATGCTAAGTGAGATTAGCTAGCTGAATTCTTCTTTGTTGGACTACAATCATTTAATATTCTCTGTTCATGCATCAGCCTGTAACCCACTTTTCAAGAAGTTTTTATAAAACATTATTTTGGAAGGAGAAAAAGTTTAGAAATCTCCAAGATACGTAACAGGAAATACTCTGCTGGAGTCTATTTATTAATCCAGTGACAAATTTAAAGACATTAATTGCCACTGTTAGACTTACACGACATTGTGTCACTCAAAAACAAGTGCTTTAATTACAAGGCTTTCCACAGAAACAAAATCATACACACTAACAAATGCTGACCTTATCAACCAAATGAAACACTGTCCTGTCATAACAACTGGGTTTATTACAGACTCTCTGAAAAGATCCATTATATTCAATAAACACTAAGAGAACCCTACTTCAGCTAGAGAAAATTTATAAACTTAGGTATGAAATTCCTAAAACAGAAATTATTTCTAACAAAGAAACATCTAACTTTACCTTCAGCTAAATGTTTAACAACTATGTGGTAAAACACAGAGCCGTTTCCACAATGATTGAGTATATGCCACAGAATAGAGCCAGATGTGAAGTTCCATGGTAAAAAAGAGACTGGGTACTTCAGCAGTTACCATGTTAAAAGCCACCAGGAAGAGACACAAGTTTTTTCCTCTTTTCCAAAAACAGGTGGGTTTGGTTTTTTTGGTTTTTTTTTTTTTTTTTTTTTTGGTGGTTTTTTTTTTTTTTTTTTGTGCAAACTTCACTTTTGCTTTAAAAACACAGAAAAGGAAATGGCAATCTGAACAGCTTGAATGGGGATGGAGAGGGAGCATGCTTTTCTGTCCCATTCTTTGCACTCCTCAGCCTTCCATTAGGAAATATGCTGGAGTAAAAAGGCTGAGATGGTAACCAGGCTGAGGTATCTGAAGATTTTAGTGACTAACAAACTTATTTTAGTACTACTGCACTAACAGAGACAGAAGACTCAGAAGATGGGCTGCTTACTTGATATGTATTTTGGATGAAATTTCAAAGTAGTTGCTTCTCTGTGACAAATACAACCAAAACTATTGCACAGAGAGAAATGAAATTTCTTAAAGCACAGAAGATCAGGCCTTCATCCTATAGCTAGCAGCCCCACCCAGGGATGACAGAAGCTCATTTCCAATGAGTTCATGAAACCTTGTCTTATTACAGATCATCCTCTTTAAGATGTAATAAATACTGTGGTCTGAAAAGTGTATTTTAATAAATATTGTAACAAAGGAACATTTTTAAAAAGGGAGAAACAGGAGAAAAGCAGAACAGGCCAACTTCAAAATCTATTTATCTGTCTGTCTATCTAATTTAAACAGCCCTATCTCTGCAGCAAATAAAGACCTGCAAACTACTTTTGGAGAAAAAAGAACTGCTTTCTTCCTCATAATGTGTAGGAAAAGTCAGTTTATACACATACATATATATACTACACACACACCTCAGACCTAAAGGAAAGCAAGCTAAAACACTACCATGCACTGAGTGAAGTGACAGTGTCTCTGACAAATACTTTCTTCACTAAGCACGAGCGGCATGTCACAAGTTTTGGTCCTTTTTTCTGGCCATCTCTACCTTACAGCAACTTTAATGCAGTCATTGAAACTTCTAAGGAAGTCCAAGTTGCAAGGAAAGGGCTGTGAAAGGATCCCAATCCAAGGATATATCCCAATATATATAACTGTACACACAGTGATCCATGTTGCTGAGCAGATGGTCTGCTGTGCTTGGTTCCAGGGGGAGCTTTTCAGGGCATCACTCACAAAGTGACTTTACTGCCGGGAATAGCAAACTGACATAGCAAAGCTGTGGAGGTCCTGGCATTGTGGTCCAGCCAGACAAAGTTTCATTCTACAGCCTGTCCAACTGAAAACTGAAATAAGTGTATCTGTTGCATTTACTGACAAGGCTGCTGGGCATTTAATAGCTCAGGAGAGTAACATGTGCACTGAGGTTATGGGATACAGCCTACACCTTGGGCTCCTCCTTAGGCCCACATTACAGACAAGAGCTGGCCGTGAGAACATTTCTCCCTTTTGACACATGTAATTTCTGGGCTCTGTTCTGGTTATAGACTGTTTATCCAAGACTTGCTAATCAGGTGGCAGCAACAGATAAAATAGAAGACATAGGCCTGATTGTTGCCTTTGTATTGCATGTATTTCTGTCTGCAAATTATTGCCATCTCTCCTGATGGATCCTGAACTGTTCTCAGATTTCACGACTGAAGGCTCTGGATAAACAAAGATGCTGATGAACTTACATCCACTTGTTGAATTAGCTTCTATCAATAACAGATCACACAAGACAGTCTATGTGCAAGAATTCCTATAACCTATGTAGTTTTTATATCATATGCACAACACTATTAAGAACCAAATATCATTTCAGATTCAAATACCATAATGTGCTTTTTAGTAATGAAACGGACTGACATTTTACAGCAGTATTTTCACATGAAGCCCCTGACCTTTACAAAGCACAAAGACAGTATGTTACTGTAACAAATACTGCCACTGTAACATAAATCATTTTCAAAACAGGAATGGACTATACTTACCTTGGGTACAACATTTCTTATAAATAACATGACTTATTCAGTCATTCTTAGAAAACATTAGTTCAGATTTCTTGAGTCAGCCTTTAGTAAGTAGTTTTCTAACTGGTTTTCTATTCTGATCTGCAAAGAGCTATAGACTGAGTAAATACTTGGTCTGAAGTCTCTTTCAAGTCAGCACATGCAACAGTAAATGAACTCTTAGCAGGCTCACCGGGCAACAGCTCTGATGAAGTCCAGAGACACAGTACACTTGTATCGTGGTCCATCCAGCTGGTCATTCTGGCCAACCATGGATAACAGCTGCAGTGTCACAAGAGAGGTGATCTACGGACAAGAGACACTAGTAATGTTAGTCATTTTTGTTAACATGAATAGCAGTTATTTATTGTTCTGTTTGGTTTTGAGCTTTTTTTTTTCCCTTTGGCATAATTCCTATTTTTTCTCTGGAAAGCCACTTCCACTTGCTCATTGTTCACTTCCACATAGCTCTGCAGCTAGAAAACCCAGGAATTTACATACATCTTGCCATTACATTTTCAGCACCAGCAGTGACAGACAAAGGCTAAACCCTTCATCCTTCATATGAAAAGTTATCCTGTAGTTTTGAAGAGAGGAACAGGAATAATAGGCATGAGCTGAGCATTTCCCAAATCTCTGCCTGACAATCAGGAAGGACTAGGATTTTCTTTCCTTTACCCCTGAAGATCTCCTTTTGAACTTTCCTACTCAATGCTGGATATTCCTGTGCCAGATCATATCACATTTTGAACAGACAGTTGTTTCACTCTACTCCAGATAAAAAGAAATTTGAAGGTTGGAAAGAAAAGGCTGGAAGATTGTATGTTAAAAAGAACAGGGCCTGAGTTGAGAGAAATTTGCCTACAAACACACACACAGTGTCTTGACAGAGCCATTGATTATTTTACCAAAATAGCAATGTACCAGCATATTTTTTCACTTTGTTCCTCCAGTGATGGCTGTGGCACCACTGAAGTGAAGTTGTGGGGTGTCACCACTGAAGACAGCCAGCCCATTCAGACTCAGTTAGGAAGAGAGACTGCAGTGATTCCATTGTCTCCCCATCTCCTCCCAGATATCAGGGAAAGAAAGAAGTAAAAGCAGAAAAGAAATTTTTTCCCTGGCCTTTGCAATAGATACCACAGACAATTCAGGGCAATGAGGTTATATTCTGTGACAAAATGGTATCTGGCCACAGGTTTCATTTTCAAAAAACCAGCCAACCGTGACCTACTTCTGAGTAATGATAAAAGGACAGTAAGGAATTCCTCAAGAATAATGTATTTCAGGAAAGTGTCAGTTCAAACGTTCAAGGAAGCACATTGCAATAAAAAGCATCAGCAAGCTGTATCAATTAAAAAAAACCCCTTACTCAGTAATAACCACACTCTTTTGCTGGAACTACACTTGGTTTTCAAATTTGTGACAATGCTTGTAGGAGGCAGGAATAATATAATAGAAAAAAATGATACCTACCTATGGAGAATAGAAAAAAATATGGTACCCAAGAATGAAGTAATTTTTTTAACAGCCTGCACTTAACTTTCTTTCATATGGCATGAGACAACAATAGTTTGGATGCTAAAATTCTGAAGAGTCTTTGGAGTTTGTTTAAGGAATGCTGGTCTACACATAGTCACAAAGACAAATTCCATTTACTCAATTCAGATCTATAAATTACATGGTTTATCCAATTTTAGCATTGACAAAATTAAAGAAAATTTAATTATCATATGGCAAATGGCTCAGATTCTAGTTCATTAATTACTTTGCATGTATCACTGGATTTGGATAAACCTCAAACTTGTTAGGTTGTATTTTCTTAAAATACTTATGAGAGTACATTTTTCTCCATTCTTCATTCAACAAAATCCATATTCATTATGGAGGAATCTGCTGTAACAATTGCATCCAGGTGCACCAATACTGGCAAAACACTTCTGCACTCGCAGCTGGTCTCACATTCAGAAATCACCAGCGAAGGAATAGCAGGAGAATTCCTTGAAGTTCCTTATGACCACAGGAAAAGTCTGCACAGTTTGGAGATTCATCTCAGTTTTATGTGGGATGTAAAAGTGACCTTGCTGCTGCATTACAAGTGCTCCAACAATACTTCAACAAATTCTACATTTTCTTTTCCAACTAGCACCAAATGCTCTGTGAGTAACACAAGGTCAGAAATGTAAAACTACTTACTAAAGGCTGACTCAAGAAATCTGAACTAACATCAGCCTGGGCACTAAGTTGCATTAACATTCTTAAGAAATTAAGTCAAAGACTCAATATACAATATTCTGAGATAAATAAAGCTAATATATCACATTACAAGATAAATAAAGACTAGCTTTACTCCTTATGATCAGAGCAATTAACTTATTTAGGAAACTGCAACATTTTACTTCTTGCTTTCACAACACTTAATAAATGTCATCACAGGGAAGAAAGTGCAGAAACAACAAGTCCTGACCCTGAGACCACTTAAAAAGACAGCTGTAGAGAGAACTGCCATTTTCAATTCATGCAGGCAAGAAACAGTTTTATCTCCAAAGAGGCTCAGTTGAGACAAAGGGAAAGAACATACATCTAAGGGGAGTAAGTAAGGACCAGCTTTCCTACAGACAGCCAAATGTTAGAAGTAAAATACCTAACTTATTAGTCTTTGGAGTAGAATTCAACCTGCAGCAGTTAGAGATGCCTGGCCTGTACATGGAGAAAGGCAGAGTTCTCCTAAGGACAAGTCCAAAAGCCTGCCTGTTGAGGGGGCAGCAGCCTGGAGCTTTTTCAGTGGGTTCAGGGAGAATCAAAACCAGCAACGGAGTTCAAAAAGCAATGACTTCTAATTTTTTCTTCCTTTATACAATATAGCAGGAGAGTTCTGCGGCTGTCAGCCACAGAAATGGACAAGACCTCTATTTTGTGCAATATATTGATAGAAAAGACTGAATTGTGGTAGATGTGGTATTATTAAGTTTCTCTAATATCCAGTGCTGAATCTAGACCCAATAAATAAAAGATGATTGTCCTCACCAAACAGTTCATAAGTCTTCTGGGACACAGAAGGTCCAAATCCCTTCTGACACAAGAGGCTTGAGCACCTCTACTGAACGTCTGACAGATAACTGGGGTGGGAGCAAAGACAGGAAGAAGAAAAGGCCATATACAATATTAAATCATCACCAGACCTAACTTGCACTGTGCTTCTGAAGCTGAACTATTTTTCATAAAATTGCAATCTCTCTGGGCCTACCTATCCTAGTAAAGCAGGACACAGTGGAATGAACTGGGTTTCAGACAGTGTACTTGTAGCATCATTTTAAAATTCACTAATATTCATGTCTTGTTAACACTTCAGTTCCAGGTACCACATATAACTTAAGCACTGAAAAACAATTACTACTTCAAAAGTTCAGGTATTATAAAACTTTGGAGGCAATATGTTCTTAAATTAAGACATATCAAAAGTTTGAAACACAGATGGGAAAAATATGAGTGCCAACTAATTGCACTTAGCCAAAAATACACCACTGCTTTTGAATTTTTTTTTAACTTTTTTTTTTTTAAATATCATGAGTACAGCGGCTCCATTTCATTATCACAAAAGCTTGAGAAGAAACATCTGGCAAGAACAGACTAGAAACAAGCCAGAAAAACTGTGTGGGTGATATAAGAAAGAATATTTATTGAGAATCCTCTGAACAAAAGAAATTACATTGGAAGAAAAATTCTAGAGTTATTTGTAAAATTACTTAAATTGCTGATGATTTAACACTAGCAAAAATCAACAATTAAAGGAAATTTTCTACAGGAATAACAAGAAAATCTGAAAAAAAAACCCTTTCTGATCTGAAAGATGTAGAGAAACAGGTTTTACCAGTATGTTTAAAAATAAGTGATGATGGAACTTGCTTTGAAATGTATTTGTGCGAGAAACCTGCTGCTGAAATCTTGGATCCAAGGTGAGAATAATCACAAAAGCACAGCAGATAATTGTTCCCAGGAGGAATGACCGCTCAGATTGCTTCTGGAGATTCATTGGTCAAACATGGACATTGAAACCTCTGGAAAAAACAAGCAACCCACAAGCCATCCTTCAAGGCAGCTTTTTTCCTATCAGCCTGGACTAACAGATGGGCCTTGCATCATTCCCCAAGCAGACACAAAGACTGGCTTTGTGAGCACACGGCTGTGTGGAAGTGAGAAGGATTCCAGAAGGAAGGGCTGTCTGCTGAGAAAGGCCAGGCTCTTCCCGAGGACACCACAAGAAGCCAGAAAATATTCACTGAGGTACAAAACATGAGCAGAATTAGAACCCATGACACAGGGAAATGCATGGTTAGTTTGGGTAAGCAATGACAGACTATCTAGGAAAGAGTCTGGGCAAAGTGTGGGACATAAATCCATAGGCTAAAACTAAACAGAAAATGATGCTGACTATTTGGGGTGGAGGGGAAGATGCTTCCTCAGAAATGTGATTGAAATCTCATGAAGTGTACATTTTAAACTGGACTGGAAAAATATTAATGAAAGGAGGAAGAATTTAAAACTGGCAGAAATATACTAGATGATCTTTGTGTTTTTTTTCATCTCCACAGTTTATAATACTCAATTATCTTGCCCAAGATGTAAAATTAATTCTAACTCTTCAGTCTGGCTTACTGTCACACACAGATTCTGAATGTCAAACGTATCAAGAAATGAAGAACTTTCCATATTCAGCACTGTCAGACAAGGGTACTACATTCTTTCACAGTCACATGAATGGTGCTTTGCAGCACCATCATCCTGCAGCTCTCAAAGCCTGTGCACTTAATCAAAACCTACCCCTGCCAGCAGTCACATTCGGGCACATGGAAAAACCTCTGCTACGCAACACGGCACTTGGAACACCCAATACCATTTACAAAACACATTGCAGTCAAAATGACTGTGCAATACTCTCCTGGAGTTCAATTCAATGACCCTAGTACAAATTATGTGAGCATAAAAAAACCCGCTCAAAAATATTTTAATGAAAATTATAGCCAGAGTATGCTCATATGTCAGCCTTGTTTGAAAAGCTCGCACAGGAAGATAACCATAGAAACATTACAACTACATATATTTAAGAAAGTACTTGATCAAAATTGTTTTTATAAAAGTTATTAAAAATAAATCAGCATTTCTCTGAATGCTTGTACAAAACAATCAGGTTTTGATACTGAATTATATTTTGTAAAGGCTTTTAATGCACTAAAAAAATACAACAGGAGGTACACCCCTCCAGATTACTTAGAGCCTTCAAGCCTGCAATTAAAACATTCATTATG